TTCTTTTATATATATATACGTATATACATACAATCAATGTAATACATATTTTTTTAATTAAATATATTACTAAAAAAAAATAGAGTATTGTGCTAATGTGCAAAGATCGCGAATTCGATTCCTTATGAGTTAAAATTTTTTATTCATAATCTATAATTAATAAAAGTTAGGAAATAATTAAAGTAATTTTATACTTTAGGCAATCAAAATTTTCATTTTTTTTTTGTAAAAAAAAAAATAATTTTTACATAAATTAAACCATTAAATCAATAAAAAACAATAATAGATACTAATAATAAAAAAAATGATAAATTTATTTAACAGAGAAATAAAATACAATGTTAATATTTTTCAACAAAAAATAATTTTTATTAAGTATATTATAAAATGCATAAAAAAATATCAAAAATATCAAAAAAATTGTTAATTTAGCTTTTTTATATTAAATTTGTTAAAAATCTAAATATTTTTATGAAAATTTACTCTTTTTCCATATTTTTTTAATATTTAAATAATGACTTATATTAAATCAGAACTTTTTATTTGACATTTATATGTAAAATACGTATGTATTATAGATATATATATACAATATATATATTTGTTATTGTTTTATTTTATATATATTATTTTCTTAGATATGATATAGAAGTCAAAGTTTAACTAATATCTAAATATTTTTATGATTTATTATATTTATCTATCTAAATGATAATATAATATACTTGTGTGCGTGTGTATGCGTGTGTGTGTGTGTAATCTTTTTATAAAGGTTAGAAATTATTGATATTGCATATATAGAAACTGCTGGAAATTTTTAAAATCTTAAAATTTATATCTAAATTTCTAAAATCTATATTATTATATATTATTATGATATATTGCTATCATTTTTATTATATGTGAATCATGTATGTAATAGAAAAAATGTCAATTTTACAGTAAGTAAATTATAAAAAGATCTCATATATAAGATTAAATATTTAATATTTGTTTGCACAAAATTAACTAATTATATATTGTTATTAATAGATGCAGTAGAATAATTTCACATATAAATAATTTACATACTTCGAAGATCACAACTGGCAGATTCAACAAAGTAGAAACTAATATTTTAATTCATAATTTTGAAAATTAACTTAATTTGTAAAATTCTCTATCATATTATAGATTTTAATTGCAAATAGAGGAGAGATTGCATGTCGTGTAATAAAAACTGCTAAAAGATTAGGAATCCAGACTGTAGCAGTATATAGTGATGTGGATAAAGATTCTTTACATGTTGAACAAGCAGATGAAGCATATTATATTGGTCCTGCTCCTCCGAATCAAAGTTATTTAAGACAGGACAAAATTATATCTATAGCAAAGAAATCAAAATGTCAAGCAATTCATCCTGGATATGGATTTCTTTCAGAAAATGCAGAATTTGCAGAATTTTGTCAGAAAGAAAATATTATATTTATTGGTCCTCCAGCAAATGCAATTAAAAATATGGGAATTAAAAGTACTTCAAAGAATATAATGACAAAAGCTGGAATTCCTGTTATAGCAGGTATTAATGTAGTAATTAATGTTAATGTATAAGCTTATATACAATTTTATATATATATTAAATAAAATATTATATTATAATATTAATAAAATTAGGATATCATGGAAAAGACCAATCTAATGAAATCTTATTACTGAAAGCAAAAAAGATAGGTTTTCCTTTAATGATAAAGGCTATATGTGGTGGAGGAGGCAAAGGAATGAGAATAGCTTTGAAAGAATCGGAGTTTATTGAAGCTTTAGAATGTGCAAAGACTGAATGTGAAAACGCATTTAATGATTCAGCCATTTTACTTGAACAATACATCAATAATCCAAGACATATTGAAATACAAGTTTTTGCAGATAAACATGGAAATATTGTTCATTTGTTTGAAAGAGATTGTTCTATTCAAAGAAGATATCAAAAAATTATTGAAGAAGCACCTGCAGTATGTATTTAAATTTTTAATTTTAACAATATTAACTTTAATAAATATATAGCAATATTATAATGATTTAATTTAAAAACTATAAAATTAAGTATAAAAATTATATAAAAAATTTTATGATCTAGCCTGGAATTTCAGAAAATTTAAGATCAGATTTAGGCACAACAGCAGTTCAAGTGGCAAAAACCGTGGGATATATTGGCGCCGGCACTGTTGAATTTATAATGGATTGTAATACAAATAATTTTTATTTCATGGAAATGAATACACGTCTTCAAGTAGAACATCCTATTACAGAATTAATTACAGGATTGGATTTAGTTGAATGGCAATTGCGAATAGCAGCAGGAGAAGAACTTCCATTAAAACAAACACAAATTAATTTTAAAGGACATGCTTTTGAAGCAAGAATTTATGCTGAGGTAATCATATTATTTTTTTTAAAAGCAAACAAAACATTTACAAAATATTTTTTATATAAAATGTATACCTTATGTTTTTTCAAAATAAAATAGTTAATTTTTTTCCTAACTAATTAATTCTATAAACAATTTATTAAATCTTATAACAATTTATTGAATCTTATCATTTTTAATTATTTTTTATAATTGATTATATATAAATATAATATACATATAATATATAATATATAATATATAAATATAATAATATAATATACAAATATTATAAATTACAGAATCCAAGAAAGAATTTTCTACCAGGAGCAGGAAAATTATCTTATATGAGAATTCCGGATATTAGGAATAAAGCAATTAGAGTAGAAATTGGAGTTCGTGAGAAAGATCAAATATCTGTGCATTATGATCCATTAATTGCAAAATTGATTGTTTGGGGAAGAGATAGAGAAGAAGCTTTAAATATACTTAAATCAAAGTTAAATAATTTTAATGTAAGTAAAATTTCAATTAGATAACACATGATTATATTTTATATATATATTTTTATTGATATTAAAAAACAAATATATATATACATATAATACATTTATATACAATATAATATTATATATTATATAAGCATATGCAATTAATTTAAAAATTTACAATATTTAATTTATTCACAATAATTTTTGCATATATTTTTAGATAGCAGGAATTGACACTAATATAGAATTTATTAAAGACTTATGTTCTCATTCGAATTTTCGGCAAGGGCAAGTACATACTGGCTTCATAGAAGAACATTATCAAAAATTATTTCGAAAATTACAAATACCAAGTCATATTGCAGCTCAGGCTGCTCTTGCCTTAATACTTTATGAAGATAGGCATTCTTTACAATCATCTTTTACAACTCTTGATCCTTTCAGTCCTTTTGCAACTGAAATTGGTTTAAGATTAAATCATACTTTAATGCGAACTTTTTGTTTTAAAGTTTATGATGATGATATTAAAGTTGAAGTAAAATACATCCAACCTGAGATTTATTCTATGAGAATCAATCAAATTGGTCCTTGGAAAAGAATAACTGGCTTATTAAAAGAGAAAGAAAATTCATTGGAATTATGTACCGAAATTGATGAAACAATTACCAAAACAAGAATAATCAAAATTCATGACAAATTACATTTATTCACCAAAGCTAATATTTTTTCTTTCTAATATGTTTTTAATTAAATCGAATGATTTAATTAAAAAATCACTCAAAAAGTTATTTATTTCAATTTCAATTTATAGGATCGTGAATGGCAATTTAATATATCTCCTACAAAATTTCTCCACAATATCACAAATAATCAGATTGAGTTAAATCCATACGGAGCTTTAAGTCCTATACCAGGTTTTATAGAAAAGTTATGTGTTGAAAAAGGAGATACTGTAAAAATTGGAGACGCTTTACTTGTGATTAATGCCATGAAAATGGAAGTATGTTTATACTAATTTCAATATCATTATAATTTTAAATATTTTTATTTATGTTTAAAAGTTAATTTTATTACAGCATATTGTCAGAGCATCCACAAATGGAATTGTTGAAAGTATACTATGTTCAATAGGTGATAATGTGCCGAAAGATAAACTTCTTATTAAACTAACTGAATCTATATCTTAAACTAATGTATATATTAATATTTGTATCTATCTTAATTAATTATAATTTCACTTTTTTTTCCAAATTCATAATCAATCAAGTAGTTTTATTTTTAGAAATTAATAATATATAAAAAATTTATATTAAATAAATAACTTTTTGAAAAAATAAAACTAAAAACCTTTCATAAAAAAAATTATCAAAAACTTATGCATTGATTTTTTTTTAATTAAATAATAGTATGAAATATAATGTAGTTATTTTCAATTAAATGTTTGCACATTATTCAAAATTAAATTAGATGTTTTATTATTTTTAATTTTCATAACATCTTTTATATTTATAAATAAAATTTATAAATAAAATTATGTATTTGTACAAAATTTCATGTTCTCACAAAAACTGAGAGAAATAAAGTATTTCTTTTAAATTCGTGTTTGGAATAAAAAATTTTATCAGAATCGTTTAATGAATATTATTTAAAAAAAAAATTGTTTATAACAATATTAAGTGCATTTATAATATGCAATTTTTCATATAAATTTTTTAATAAGCTAACCATATACGATATATATGATTTTAATATATTCATGAGACATTAATATATTCTAGAGAGAGAAAATTCAAAAATATCAACTAGAATTTATTTATTAAATTATAAGTAATGTAAGTTTGTATTAGATGAAGGAAATAGAACAAAGTCGATAATGTAATAAAGATAAAATTTTATCTCATGTAATTTTTAATTGTTTATAATTTAATAAATGAACTTTAATCAAAATTTTTGCATACTAACTTTTGTGTTTGTTTGGGTTTAGAATCAATCTTTCAAAAATATCCCATGAATATATTAATATTCTGTATATTCTGTATACACATATAATTAATACAATTTAATTACTAAAATATTATATTAGTTGAAACTATATATTTCATTCCATTTCATTATTATGAAAAGTGCGCCAAACGTACTATTTTATTTATGAAGAGATATATGATTAAGAATGGCAGAGCGATTTTGAAATGATTTTTTAAATAAATTAATAAAACGGAAAAAAAAAAGAAAGAAAAATAATAAGAAAAATGAGTAATTTTCAATCTCCTATGCGATGTATTTCTCCTAATGCGAGGTAATATAATATATGAAATATAGAAAATAATTGAGGTTAGAAAATTAATTATTATATGTTTCACATGTCACTTTAAATTATTTAATTTATAGAATTCTGAGTGCCAAACCTCAAGTTGAACAAACGCTCAATATAAAACAAGCACAAAATAAAGCAAGAAATAGTATTACATGGTTTTTTGTCAATAGTTCTTTACTTGGAATTCTCGTTTTTGATATGTAAACAATTAATATTTTTTTTATATTCCAATCATTCATTCTATCAATATAAAAATATATAAAATTAATATATTATTTTCTCAGATTATATGGAGGTGCAGCATATAAACCATTTTGTTGGGCTGAATGGTGTTTGGCCTCAATATTTGCATTAAATGCTCTATATCATATCACAAGATATGCATGGTCAAACTTTTCTTTACAACCAATTTTATTGAGTCCTAAACAAAGACGACTATTGGGTGTATCAGAAGATGATCCTTTTTTTAAGAATGAATTACCATTATCTCAAAAAATATCTGAACCAATAATTCCATTAAATTTATCATGTATAAGTCTTAACAAAAGAATGGTCCCACTTAGTTCTACAGGATTAAGTGAATCTAGTATGAAATATTTTTTTTTCATTCTAATATTATCTAGAAAATTTCTATGAAATATATGTATATATATATATATATTTTATGTTCAAGAGGATTTTTCACCATCAAATCAATTTTTTAAATATGATAGTCCTACATCTCAAAAATCAGCTTCTAGTCCTAATGGATCTTTTAATAAGCCTTTTAATATTTCAACAAATGGAAATTTAACTAATGAGGATTTAATTCAAAATGAGAAGGAATTAAAAAATTACTTGGAAAAAGCACGTCAAAAAAAAAATATTCTATCTATAGACATTGATCAACCTTCTAATTTACTTAGTTCATTTTGGTCGCATCCAGCAATTAGAAGTCCTGGAGAAGTTTCTCCATTATTGAGAAGATGTGCATACCAAGTAGCACCAATTATAGGTAAGATTATGGATAATTTTTTTCTTTAAAAACAAAAATTATATTACTTTTCTTTTTCATAGATAAATCAAAATCAGTTAGTCCAGGTGCTGAAGAAGGAAATTCACCTAGAGGTATATTCGGTGCATCAAATGTTTGGAGGAAATATAGAATTGATTCAATTAAAGTAAATGAATGGACAGCCAATCTTCGCATGGTAAATTAGATATTGAATATATTTCAACATAATATTTACATTATAACAAAAAATATATAACAAAATATTTATAATATATAAAAAATATAAATCAATATTAATTATTGCAGTGGATTAGCAAAACAGTTATTGAACGAGTAGCAACTGAAATTGATAATGTTTGTTTAGCATTAATTCGTCATGGTTTAAGTGATTCTCAACCAGGATATGTGGGATTACATAGATTGAGAAAACTTGCACAAGCACCATTCTTAGTATCTGCTATTCCTACTTTACCAACTTTAGTACCTTTTTTAGAATTGTCTAATAATCAAGAATACTTAATTAAGAGAATTAAAATTCTTGCTAAAGGAGGATCAATGAGCGAATTTAAATGGAATGGTGGAGGACCTCATAATGGCAAAGAATGGGATTCTAGTTTACCAACTGATTCTGTGGTAAATTCTTTTAAAAGTTATAAAATAACATTTAGACAAATAATTAAAATCAATACAATATATACTTTCATTATTTTTTTAGATAATTATGCACTTAGTTTCAACATACATGGATACGCAATTAGAAGCTCCTTTAGATCAACCTGATGCACGACCATTTACATCAAGATATATGGCTAGGTCAGGAATGGCTTTACCACGTAGTAAGGGACCTATCGTAGTATGTCAATCTATAAATCCACCACATTATAATTTGGCACATTCTGGGGATTCATCACCTAGCGATTATGAAGAAATACAACGTGTAAATAAATTTTATTAAATTTATTATCATTATTTTCTCTTATTTTCATTTTAATATTAAATTAAATATGATATTGTGAATTGATATTAATTATTTTTTTTCATTTTTAGGGTAGGAACAATTTATTTCATACATTTCTATTATTTTTATACATCGTTAAAACAAGAGATCATGGTATGCTAGGTCGTGTAAATTTAGGTACATCAGGTATAAACGTTTTATGGGTAATCGATAATTGAATATTTGATATTCAGCAAATAATAATATCATATATATAACAAATATTTGATGATGTAATATTTATTTTTTTTTTCACTTGCATTTTTATTATTAATAATTTGTTTCTTGATATGTATTCTTCATGTGTGAAATTATATTCAGTGTTTTTTGTACTTTTTTTTTATCTTAATTAAAATATACAAGATATTATATTCGTGAAACATCTTTAAGATTTGAAACTTCAATTTTGCAAATCAAAACAAACAAAAGTTTATATATTAAAATATAAATTAAATATAATATTAAACATAAAAAAAATCAAAAGCCGCTTCAAAAGTTTATTTGGTGTAAATATTATTTATTATTAAATTATAAACAATTGAAATTTGTGTTAGATAGAGATAATGAGATAGTTATATCTTCATCTTGATTCAATTAATGTACTTAAATTGCTTACAATTGTGTAAGCTAATAAAGAAGTTATTTTTGTATAACTTTTTATTTGTTTGATTTTTAGAATCAATTCTCTAAAGAAGTTCCGTGAATATATTAATATTTTATAAATTAAAAAAAAATTTCATGTATACAGATGTTTGTTATAAAATTAGATGAAAAATTTAAGAAATAATTTCTAAATATAAAATTGATATGCAAAAAATTTTATTTATGTTATATTCTTTTCATTTTACTTTATTTAATATAAAATGAAATAATTTATAATTTAAAAAAAGAACTTTAATAGAATTTCTTATATCAATTTTTATTTGTGGAGTTTCTTTAGAATTATTATAGATTTTTTGTATTATTTCGGAGCAATAATGCAATAATAAAAATTTGCATTTAATCCAATCAAAGTCTTAAATACTTATTGATTTTAGACACATTAATATTTTTGAAACTTTGAATTATGTCAAAAAAATAGACTGTATTAAAATATATACGTCAATGGTATTCTTATCTAACCTTTATTCGATGATATAAATACAGCATAATTTTGTTTTTTGATTATTATATGATTCTTATCCGCTTATGTTCATACTAGATTTAAAATTTCTCAGAAATAAATAATTTTTCAAAAAATATTTTTTATATTTTCATAATATTTTATTAATTAAAATAAATGTACAGAGTATTAATATAGTTTTGAAAAATCAAAAAGGACAAAAATAAATACAAAAAATGATGTACAAAAATGAATTGAGTTTATTTCTTAAGTTATAAACAATTTAAGTTTGTGTTAGCGAGATGAAAATTGAGCGACAATAATAGAGATAGAATCATTTCATTCTGTCATTTCGTTTAATTGCTCATTTCGAAAATTTTGGAAAACTCATTAATAAATAAAAGTTTTAACTAAAATTTTTATTATATTAACTTTTAATCTTTATATTTTTTTTGAAATCTAGAATCAATTTTCTAAAAATATTTCATGAATATATTAATACTTTATATATTTTTCGTTAATATATGTTTTTGTTTAATATAAAATAAACAATATAATTTGTCTAAATAACTTATTTCGAGTTATGTCTGCTATAATTATAATTTTATCTGGATATTATTAGAATTAGATTTTATTATAATTATATATATATGCACACATTCTATATGTATAAAATATTCAATTTATAAATATAAATTATTTATAACATTATAAAAAATGGATTCAAACAGGAATTGAATGGTTTTAGTGAAACATAATTTTTCTGTAACATTATCTGACTATCAAATGTAATTATAATTTTATTATATTAATCAAAAATTTAATGTATAATTGTACAATTTGAATTTTGTAAAACTTATTATTATATGAAAAATAAGAAATATATGAAGCTGTTCTTGTTTATTTATAATTTTTTTTTATATTTTATATATTAAATCTCACAACAAAATTATACCTATTATTCATTCAAAAAACTAGTTATATCATTATTAGTTACATCATATTATATCCTTTTTGAAACCATTTAATTTTTATTTGAACTAATACAATAATAATACAGAATATTTTACACATAATTGTAGATTAAAATCGGACATTATATCATACTTACCTTTGTCACTTGACAAAATTTATCATAGAATTTATCATTAAAGTAAAAATTATAAATCATTTTATAATTATATTGATATTACGAATATATTTTATTCACACTATTTAAATATATGTACAAATAAATCATAAATCACATATATCCGCATCCATTGAAAGTAAAACATAATACACTGTAATAGTATATAATTTCTTTTTTATAAGTTTTTTGTTTTATTTTACAAATTTTAATATAATGTATTGTATTGAATATACATATGCACACATAATATAACAAATATCATAAAGAATTTTTCGCGAAATTCTTAAAATTGAAACAATCTGGTTAAATAAATGCATTGTATCTAATTGTAAAATTGATGTTCATTCCATCGATATCGTGCTACATAAGAAATGCAATTACTTTTAACATTATCATTAACATAATTTATACATAATACAATCTTGTAATTTTTTTTTCTTTTTTCTTGTAATTAAAAATCCATATTTTGTAAAAAATTATATTGAACTTTTCGTACAATGTATAATACATTCTTTAGATAACGGTTTCTTTATGTTTAAGATTAATCAGTATATACACTATAATTATATGTTATAATAAAGATACAGATAAAAAGCAGCAAATTTGTTTGTACATTAGTTTATAATTTTTGAAGAGATTATAATTTTTTAAGACTAAATGTTGTTTTAATAATTATTAAATTACGATAATAATTTTTTTCTTTTTTTAATATTATTATTGTAACAATATTAAAAAATTATATATTTATAATAAAATCAAAAATTTATTATTGATTATATTATATATGTTCGTATTGTTTGAAAACATTAATTGTCATTAAATTATAGAACGTTCAATAATTATTTTAAATAAAATATAAATTTATAAATGAATTCATAAAATATTTTCACAATATATTATTCAATATATCTGCGTGCATACATGCACGTGTATATTTATGCATATACATATGTTTATAAATCGCAATAATAATTGCTTTTCAAACAGAAATAACCGAAAAAAAGATACACATATCAGGAAATGATTTAAATGAATTGATTTGAAATATATGACATAGAATAATTATTTTTTTAAAACAATTGCTTGGAATAAAATAAATGGTTATTTAGAAACATATTTGAATTAATCAGAAAGAAAACTTCAAATTATTTTCATGAAAAAAGTATTCATTTGGTTGCTTTTTTTCTTTTTTTGTTTTCTTTCTTTTTCTTTCATTTTTACATTTTTTATGTTCTAAACAATTTTATCCAATCCCAATAGTTTACAACAGCTACAGTTCATATTTAAATATAAACAGAGATATATAACATATAATACAAAGTCAAAAATAGCATATTGAATTTCTGCATTTTCAATTTGTTCCTTATATTTTTTCTTGCGATTATGAAATATATTTGTTTTTATAATAGAAATAAAAAAAAAATTGAGTAAATATGCAAAAGAATTATATATCAATTTATGATGTAGTAAATATTTTGGTTCCTTCTGGCAAAATTACTTCTTCACCGACATCGGTAAGAGTGACTGTAAGAGGGAGAATTAAAGGCATTAATATCTCTTGATGCTGCATAACTGTTTGTTGAGCAGTGACTGGTTCAGGTTGCCTAGTAATAGTAATCGTTTTAATATTTTGAGTCTTTACTATTTGTCCTTGTCCAAGTGTGGTCTGTTGTAGCACTCTTTGTTGATTTTGAGCTGGTTGCACTTGCGTAATTAATGCTTGAGTACGATTTTGATTTTGAACAAAATTTTGTTTGCACCTTTTACTATGAGCGTAACGACTTCCATTATTATTAAATCGTCGGTCACAAGTAGGACAAGCATAAGGTCTTTGACCAGTATGAATAAAAACATGTTCTTTGAGCGATTTAAGACGGCGAAAATTCTTTGGACAGTATTTACAATGATATTTAGCTTCGCCTGTATGTGAAGTTAAATGATTAGCAAGAGTATCAGCTCTAGCAAATGCTCGTGAACAATATTGACAAATATATGGTCGTTCCTGGGTATGTGTCCTCATATGCATTTTTAAATAGGCGTTCGTTGTAAACGGTCGTGAACAAACCTCGCAAACATATGGTTTAATGCCATTATGGGCTCTAAGATGTGCAATTAACGTTGTCGATTGTGTGAAACTTTTGGAACAAATCTCGCAAAGAAATCTTTTTGAGCTATCAGTTTCTTTGTTTTTTTTAAATGTTCGATCATGTTTTGATAAATGATTTGTTAATTGTTCTTCTTTAATGAAACGCTTTGTACAACGTGTACATTTGTATGGTTTAATCATATTATGTTTCGCTACATGTATCTTTAAATGTTCCCTTCTATAAAATTTTTTTGGACATATATCACATAAGTACTTTTTTCCTTCATGAACTTGAATATGTCGTAAAAGCCCTTTCCTTGATGTATATTGTTTGTTACATTCTGTACACTCCAAACCTACAATATCGGTTCTTCTCTTCCTTCCAATTTTTTCACCTGGTTTTTTCTCCTCAGGTCGCGGTTCAATATCTCTTAAGTCTTCCTCTGTAAGAATACCCTCCGTAACATGTTTTGCTCTATGTTCTCGCAAAATCTCATTGTTTTCAAAAGTATCTCCACAAATATTACATTTTCTTACTTGATCGGGATTTTTCTCAGAACATTTATCATAATGAGCTTTTAATTTGTCTTTACGATAGAATTTGACATTACAAATATCACATTCGAAATTTGGTTCTTCATGCAGCAATTGATGACGTAATAATGATTTTTTCGTGCTATATCGTTTTTTACATTTTGCGCATTCATGATTATCCATTGGCCAATCTAAACCACTTTCGAAATCTGAATCGTAATCATCTCTGTTTTCACTATGATCTATCTCTTCATTAGAACAATCCTTTTGTCGTTCTTTTTTTTCTATTGATTGCTTTTGTTTTTCCAATTTTATACCTCGTTGTTGCTCATCTTTCACATGTTGTTCCATATGTTTTGCTAATGATTGCTTTGAATTACATTTTTTATTACAACTTGCACATTCCAATTCTTTTTTATAATTATGTCTCTTTTGTGAAAAAATTTCTCGCTTATTCCGGTTATTATCTGTAGAATGA